ATTATCTGCTAATAATTAACATTTCAATATGATATTTTAATGCTACTACTTATAATAATTATATTAATTATTATTCGTGGAGGCCTTCCCTCCTCTCGCCCGGACGAGAGAGTCAGTGCCGTTCAACCCTCCGACGCCCCTCTCGGTTTTGTTTTGCACTTATTCAGTGTTGGTTTTTTTTTCTTTTTCGAATTTGTCAATGTGTATGTTTCAAATTCGTACTTTAATATTCAAAATATTTACTACTAGCGGCCCGATGAAGCAAAAATGCTGCTGAATACACTCTCACAAAATTATTTTCCAATAAGTAGCATACACGCTGCTCAAGATCAGAAAATTAAATACTTTAGTATAACACCGCATTAAATTAAATATTTTTACACGACGGTTGTATAAATTTTACAATAACATAGAAAGGTATATACGGATACACAGCACAGCTGTTCTTTAACTAATAAGAATATCAAAAATGTGTCTATTCCATAAAGCAAAACATAAATAGCAAATATGTAATGGCAGCGGTCTCTTTCTTGGAGCCTTGCTGTCGCATATCACCCGTTGTGTCAAAAGTAGTGACACGAGAAAATTCGTAATTATGAGAATTCAGTTGGTATGAGCAGTATGACAGTAGGCCAGAACAACACAATCAAATATTTGTATTTTCATATATTTTTCCAAATTCTTGGGTATCTAAAGAAATCTCAATCACTCTCGCTTCGCCGGAGGCTTCATATTTTTCTTTAAATTTCTCTGCGGATTAGAAATTATTAATACAGATATTGTTGTACAATTTTATAGATGTATTGTTGCATAATAATATAGCATATTCATTTAAATATTTTCCCTAATATTTTTATTGCGCCTTTTGAAGCTGCCTCAAATTTCATCCGTTTCATCCATCCAAAGGTACTGGCGGGCTCGTAACCAAACATTTTATTTCAGTTTGCAAATTGTCAGTTTTCATTCTAGTCATCGTTCCTAAGGGTCTAATAGGGATGTAACAATATAATTCTTAAAATGCAAGGTGTAAGTTGGCAAGCTGGTCTTTCGAAATTATTCAAAGAGGACGCGCTGATACAAACAACACGTTATCGGAATGAATAATTTCAGTGAGCTGGAAAGACAGAAATGTGTATGCTAAATACCAAAAAAATTGTTATAACGATATCTCTTTGCATTAAAAATATATTTGTAGTGGTAAAGAATTAGAAATTCCAGATTTTCATGATGATTAAGAACAGATGAAATGCCTACAAGTGTGATGTACATGGACATTTCATCGTTACCCTTCACTCTGATTTCTTGTTAATAAAAAAAATTGCATTTTGTAATTTCCCCGTATGCAATCTACTAACTCATTGTTTTTCATCAATGTTATTAAATCATTTTTATTACTGTTTCGCGGAGCAATGTTGATTTATTGATTGCGAGTGAATTTAATTAAACTTCAAAATTGCTCATTACTAAATTTATCAATGTAAAAAATTAATATTTCCAATAGTAATTCTAATGTTGTATTCATTAAAAAGTCTGCTACAATTTGAGCGAAATAACACTACCTAGAGTTTTGCCCTGTACCGTTTATCAAGCGGCAAAACTTTATGTGAAATTTTAAATGTTTTCTATACTCTGAAGCCGAGGGCAAAATGTAGCGACCATCTCGAATATTATTGAAGAGATAGGTATCTTTGAGTTTAATATTCTTTGCTTTTATATGCCTGTTTTACTTACAATATTGAGCGATTCAATTACCTTACTCGACTCTATAATACAGCGAGAGACTTCCCTGTAGAGTTGAAAGAGTTGAAATAACGGAAGGGTGTTCAATGTCAGGGTAAAGATTTGTTATATACTTGTTAGTGTCTCAAAAGGTAGAAATGAAACAAATTTTGAGAATAAAGAACGCCAATTGCAACGATAGCATTATAACTAAAGTAATGTCTACATTTTTAGAAATGAAACTTCTTGTAGTCTTGCTTTTCATCCTACAACTCAGGAACGCGTAGAAGGTTATTATTGAATGGATCAGGGAGAACATTGTTTACTTTGATAAAAATGTTACCACTCTGTGAATGCCCGTTCCAAGAACCTTGGTACCGGAAAATGTTTAAATTCTTCCACTCTAGTATTGTACACTTTTATTGTAATAAATATAGGAATAATGGATGCAAGTTATGTTTATCGTGTACCATATATTAGGCATAATCGTTGTACATACTTTACAATATATATTTGTATTAACCTGTTCAGGTGCCTCTTAATAAATGTTACAAACTCTATGGGGATGTAGAGGGATCGAAAATGATGACTTTTTCTCGATGAATATAGTGGGAAATTTCATGTAGCTGAGTTACACATGTAACGATTGCCCCCGAGAATTACGCAAATACCTGATTTGCACGTCACGTTCTTGCGCCAGGGGCATCAAGTCTCCTTGACGCTGAAACCAAGAGGATTTGTTGGTATACCTGCAGAACACATGTACAAACGGCGTTGCCTTTCATGAGCAAATATAATACGCAACGCCTTAATTTTAAATGCCTCGCTGTATGTGTTTTGGCATAAAGTGATCCTTTTTGACCCCTTTACATGCCTTAGAAGTTAGTAACATTTATACTTAGACACCTCTCTACATGATTTAGAAATTTGTTTTGAGACACTGCAATGTAAAATAAATTACCACAGCTCCATTAGAACATTCACAATATATTTCATAAAATGAATAAAATATTGTTAAGATTTCAATACAGTGATCCTCAATCACAAATGAATAAGTTTCAAAGAACGTGATTAAAAATTTATGCAACTATATTATTTAAATATTAAGCTCGATTCATTCTGATTATCTTAAAGTGTACCGTTTCCCTCTTCTGATTCCCTCGCTCATTCTTGTTTCAGCTGCCTGAGTCCTCGTTCCGCCTACTTCTACGAGTTCCCTCCAGCCGGTAAGTCAACGCGCTGACCGGATGACGAAAGGCGCAGGGCAGGTGCCCGGGCATAGCGTTGGCGGTGGCGGGCCCCCGCCAGGAGAACTATACGCCCGGCGCGGCGCGCGCTTGCGAGTTAGTCAAGTGCAATGTGTTGGTGATGAATGTCTAACACGCGTGCGCCAAAGTTAGCAAACAAGTTCAGGCCTGCGGGGGGCCGCCGGTGAGAGTATGCGTTTTTGTTTTCGCAACTCACCTCGCTGTAGCAAATACTATTTTTTGAAAGGTAGAAACTACGAGACTATGCAATATTCACAACTCGCATTTGTATCAGGATTGTTCATTTTATCTGAGCCCGCGCGCAGTCGCTCGGTCAAGCACGATCCGAGGCGCCGACTTTCGACCTCTCGAAACTCCCCACGCCGCGCCGCGCCAGATCAGCGGCGTGTTGTCTTTGTGGTGCGAAATTATCTTCTGTCGTTGTGCGTGTCGCGATTCTTGGGTCAATCGCCAAAACATTCTGTTCGTATTGCAAAACTGTCTGATAAAATCTTTGAAGAATAATCCATGTTCATTAATATTTCTTTGTTTAAATTATTTTTTCTATGTAATTCGTCGAATTGATAAGTCGTTGTGAAAAATTCGATTGGTTTAATACTAGAAAAAGCGCCAACGCATGTGATAGGTAAATTAGTTTTAGGTAGACTCGCGTAATTTTCAATACGTCGGCTTTCTTAAAATTCTTAGTCCCATTTCTCCTTAGCTTTATCCCGAAACGCGCCTTTTTTTACCTTAAATTTTCTTTTCTCCGTCTCCCCGAACTCCGATTTTCGTCGGACTTCTCCGCTCACCGTATCCACGTCGCTGCTCTGTGATGGTGTTTAGCTCGTTCCTAATCTCAACGCGCTTCCGGGCAGCGAGCGCATTCTGTGCTTGTCGTCTGGAACTGGACACCAGGCTGTTCCTCGTGCTCCAGTGGCCATCGTTCCTGTTCCTGCCACTAAGATCAACTCGTTTATTAAATGCTGTCATTCTCGCGGCCCTTTCAACCCGTTGTCAGGCTATATCATTATCGATATTGCACGATTGGCAGGCTTCGACTTTATTCTTTACCCCTTCATTCCGTGGATATTCGAGTAAATCGCACCAAACATTTGAGTAGTCTTCGTTCATTTATACACCACCTCCATTTACGTTTCCACCTACACCCACCGATTTCTGCATAATCAACATTTTAGTCTTCGGTACCATCTTTCTATCGTGTTAACTCACCTGCAGTCATCTCCAGCCAACTTGCTATCTTCCCCAAAACTATTGTTTCATTTTCAGCATCTCTTGTTACAATTGTCATTAATCCACAGTTTATTATTCGAAAAACCCGTTTTTCTCCCTTCCTTCCGACACTCACCCTCCTTTCCTTGATGGTGGGATCGGCGGAGAAGAAACAATTTATTCACTTGCTCCTTCTTCTGCTGTTCGTTCAGCCGTAATGTGGTGGAAACATTATCAGCTACGCAGTAAACTTGCTGGCATGCGCCAAGTTTCGTTCGCAAACTACTTGCACTTAATGAGCGACGACATCCCACGTCCCGTTTTGGTCCATTTCCGCCATACTGCTGTGCTGTTAAACCTCGTGTAACAGCATTGTCATTCTGTGCAACGTTCTGCGCACCACCACGCACTCACCACATGGACACTGTTCCCTATTTATAAGTAAAACTACGGCACGCTGCAGGATACTTCTAGTGTACATCCTCCGCCGCAGTTTCCTCAGCCTTTGCTTCTCATCTCCGCCATTTCGGGTCCGAGTCTCGTCTCCAACCCGCTGTCTGCCCATAACCACCCCATGCTACTTGTCAAGAATCCCATAACGTAGCTGGGCACAACCGTCACCTCATGCCAACAAAC